GTTGTTACACTCTGGATATGTGAATAAACGAATAAACATCATTGCCATGAGTGGCTGTAAGCTACTCCACCTCTATCCAGTTTGTCAATACGATATAAACTCAACAGAGTCTTATTTATCGTTACAAATGTAAAATGAATGAATGAGCTGGTACAACACGATCATCATGATCAGTTGTTGTTACAAGAATTGCTGGATATGTTTTTCGATTGGTTAGAATATTATATAATGGTGATATTAATTTAACCCATTTAAATTCTTCGTGTATATCAGGATTACCAAATTCTCCACACCAGTAATATCGTTTAAGAAAGAACAGATTATCTTTTTTTAATACATGAATATCAATTCATACCAATAGTAAATGTTATGATATCGATAAAAATCAAGTACATCAACACAACCGAATAAATCTGGTCGGATATTGGCACAAGTTGATACAGTTAATCCACCATTGCTGCCACCTCCAATCGAGTTTTTTCTGGTCGAGTATATTTATTTGAAATAACCCATTCCGTACAAGCACATGCATCAAGAAAAGTATTTGCTTTTTTACTTTATATTCATCTTTGTGCTATACTTCACCTTATTCAGCATCACCTCGAACATTAACTCCAACAAATATTCCATCAAAATGATGAATCCAGAGAAGTACAGCCATTGAAAAGAAAGGTGTCATCGCAATTGAAAATCCACCATAAGCGTAAACATATGTTGGATTTTGACCATTTTTTTGTAAATGTTTTCTATGAACTAAAAACATTGGGATTTTATCTGAATTTGATGGATCTAATCCATTTGAATCCACAAAAATCTGTTTAATGGTTAATGCATTAAGATCAACACCTTGAAATCCAATTGTCTTAAATACGGTAAGTGAAGCGTCAAGTGATTGAGCAAGATCACATGTATAGATTGTTGTTGAAGAAAGAAAAGATTCACGGCGTATGAAGATTTCTGATTCATGTCGATCACTCCTTAATATTGAAAAACATTTTAATTATTATTCCTTTTTTTTCTCTCCTCCTTGTCTTGCCAAACAGATATATTTCCAACAGGTAAATCAAATTTCCGTAATTTTTGTCCTGTTTTCATGTCATATAAATATAAAACTGACTTAACATGTGAAAGATACCGCAGGGGTCGCAGCAGCCTATGTCTCAAAATCAGGAATTTAGGCAGGACACAAATTGGAAAAAATCAGGACATTTGCAGACTTGTTTGGATAACGCACTAAGCGATTAAACTTCTACAAAAGTGAATAAAGTAATGGTAACCTATTTTTATAACCACGTGTATTTCTGCGATGAGCTTCATAAATCATGAAGCAAAAATAAAAAATGTGAAGAAATCACTTTTCG